AAAAAAAAACACATAAATTTCACAATTCTCAGACAATTAGGAAAACTTACCTACACTGAGCCAAAATGAACATGGTTTATGAATGTCGGAAAAACATCGAAAATCTTCCATTCGATGGAAATATCATGCACTCAGCGAAGCGGGTGAGGGCGATCTAGTTGAATATAAAACATTTAAGTTACATTTGGATTGAAGCCTAAAACTCTTTTAGCTGGACATTTGAATTTGAATATCTTATACTTATTTTTTTTAGAAAAATTCTCCTTTTCTCATTGAGTTGTAAGTCGCTAGAAAGTTGTTGAAATCGAAATAGCACTCAATGTAAGAGAAGGCAACACATTTCCAGGAATGCACAGAGGGCCAGAAGGCATTCAAAAGAGGCCAAAAGTCAACTTGAGAATTTAAATTTTTCATGCTAATAGCCAAAATATACAATATTTAAGGTAACTGTTAGTGAAATATTATAGCAATTGTCACAATTCATTTCGATCAAAATAGTTATATTTGAAATTTACAAGTCCACTGCATAGTAAAATTAAATTTTTTTCCAGAAAATAATAAATATTTTCATTTTGTCTTTTGTTTCTTTTTAATAAGGTGCAGTAAAATAAAAAACTAGAAAAACATCTCACAAAATAGCCGTTGCTTTGAATAATTCGACATCTTTTATTGAGTCAAGCATTCATTTTTATGAATTGTGCTCGCTGTCGTTTAGCAGTACTCTTGTGTACCAGCTCACTTCACAAAAACAAAACATGGAATCTTTTCTGCATTAAATGTACCTTAAGATAAATTTGCTCAATTTTGCACATTTTGAAATTCTTTTTTTTATATTAATTTTCTTCATTGGCCGCGTGAGCGATTTTGGCTCGATCCTTTATATGAGTTAGTCACCACCTATACAAGTAATTCAAAATTTTTAGTTTTAGTTTAGAGGAAGAATAAAACATTAATCCATACTTTAATTTTATGTTTTATTTTAAAACTGAAATTAAATTTTTTTTTTCTGAGAGAAGCATTCAATCACCATAATTTAGTGAAATTAAAAAATACGTAAAAAATAAATAAGGAAAAACGAAAACAAATAAAGTACAAAAAAAAAAATTAAAATTTGTTGTTCGTAAAAAAAAACAAAAAAAAAAACGGAAAATACTAAAAGAAATAAAATAGTGAACCCTGAACTCGCAATTGGTAAAAAAATAAAAATACATAAAAAAGGAAAAGTAAAAAAAAAAATTAATAAAAAAGCGAAGTCTAAATTCGTATTTCGTAAAAATGGCTCATTCCACGGTAATCGATACCGAATGAAACGAAAATAAACTAAAGAATATGACTGTATTATTTCTAGTAGGTAAGAGTAAATAAATCTAACTATCAAGACTGAAAGCCAAAATTCTGAAATTTATCTCAAAATCAGATATTTTTTTACTTTAGGTTGTACCATTTACAAACCCATATGAGAGGTTAATTTTTTTCAAAATTTACAAGACTGATTTTCATAGTCTATAACCTTTTTTGCATTGTTTAAACCGTCAGTGGAGAGACAAATTCGTTAGCATTGTAACGGCGTAATTTTCTAATTTTTCGGGCAAGTACTAAATATTTTATTATATATTGAAGCAAAGCATATTTTAATGTCACGCCCGTCACAAGATACACAAAATAGTTATTTTTTGAAGGAAAACACATCTTGGACAGTGTAAAAAAACTGACGAAAGTAACGCTATGACACAGGGAAATATGTGCGAATTGCTTTTAAGTATTTATATGCTTTTATTTTCGAAAAAAGAACCGATTATGTTGGTCACGCCCGTCACATGTCACACCCGTCACAATTTAAAGTTTGACAAACTTCAATAAATTCGGCCAGGGACTGCTACCGTTACTTATCAGCTAATCTGAAATGTGTCATATATCTGTTTGTGATCAGCGATGATAAAGCTAATCATAAAGATATGTTGCTCGAACGATGGGAAAACTTAAGCTATGCTGTCACGGATAAAAATATATCATTACTTCGCTTGTCAGGGCAAAAAAAGTATCTGAAACGGTTTTTTCAGGTAACGGCCTCGGTTTGACAGGTAATAGCCTCATACTATTTAAAAATAAGGTACTTTACAATTACTAAGACATACAATGGAGAAGAAGAGTCCGATCAAGGATTATCCCGTCTTTAGGTAGCAGAATCTTGTATGTGTTCGTAAAATCCAATTTTTTGAGAAATAAAGTTAGCTAATATTGTGTATTTATGTATTCATGCTCAACTTGTCACACCCGTCACAAAGTCTAGTCACACCCGTCACAGTTGAATTTGGAACATATAATCTATAATTTCCAATAGCGGCAAGCAACTTTGGCGTAAATATTGAGAATGTTTATTTAACTATACAACGAACTATTTAAAACCATAAGCAGAAGACATAATTAGCAGAAAAACTCTGATGCAAGTAACGAGTAGTTAATTTGGTTTGCGTACTCATCACACCTGTCACAGTGACTAAAATTCAGATAACTCGTTCGGATTAAATTGTTTTTGGAATTTTTATTCCAGGCATTGTTTATATCTCGGAAACCTATTACAAAATACTCGTTTTAAAGAATTTTGTATTACAGTTTAAGAATTAACCCTTAAAATGTGAGTTGAAATGTCACACCCGTCACCGTGGAATGAGACAAATATAAAATATAAAAAAATGCAAAATATAAAAAAAAATTGGTATACAAATTATTATGTAAATCAAAAGCTAAAAATAACAAAAAAATAAAAAAGTGAAGTCTAAATTCATAGTGTATCATCCTCCTTGTGGGCTTCGGAAACTACATTTTATGTAGGCTGACTACCGACGTATTTTTTATGCTGGCCGTATCGGATTTGCCATTTAGAAATTTTGAAATCTGAATTCAAATTCGTGATGAGTAAGCCCAAAAATCACAGAGTAACAAGTCTCAAGCCAATCCGATTACTTTTCAAAATATTGTCCGCCATATTGGATCCGCCATTTTGAATTTTTAAAATCTAACTTCAGATTCGTAATCACCGACCCCTATAACCCCCTGTAGCAAGTTTTAAGCCATTCCGATAAGATTTCGAATATTGGCCTCTTTTTATCGTTTGCTGGCCCATAGTGGAATGCTCGAAGATGGTAAGCCAGTAACGGAGAGCGAGTAAATAAACAAAATTTACGTACTACATATTTACATTCACTTACCCCTAAGAGAGCCAAAGTATGCTACTTATGTACGTGTTATTGACAATATAATTTTATCGATAGTATTTTCAAAGTAGTGATGTAAGTAGGTAGATACGACCATAAATAATTGCATACCTATTTATAAAAGTTTTATATAAGTAACTACATAAGCTTGTATACATACATACATTAAGCAGGAACATTAAGTCAAGTAAGTGTAAATAAAATGAAATATTTAATGACGAAGGAGATGCAAGCAAAGCAGAGCAACTGATTTCACTACAATTCA